CCTTTACTCTGGTATCTTGGTGGCCTTCAAAGACCAAGGTTTTTGTTTTAGGTTATTTTAGTCTTATATTATAGTCATTCTGGGTAAACTTAGCTGAGAACTGAAGTCTTATCATTTTTCTTTTTGGTTTAAGACAGGGAAAAGCTTGAACTTGCTGGAAGAGTTTAAAGGAATTTGTACAGGATTTCTATACAGGTCCTATTATCCAGATGTTTTAGTGATGACAGGATTCTGAAAAGAAGGATTTTTAAATTTTTTTCAATAGCATTATGTGTGTGTATGTGTGATCCCTCATTAATAACAAAAGTTCACATGGCGGTACACAATCATTTATCTTCCTTGAATTAAATTAAACTTTTCTAAAACAGTTTGGTGTGTATAAAATATTTTCCAATTACACTTTTCAAACTAACTGGTCCTTATTTACCCTTGTCTTAGAAAACATTATCTGAAATATCCCTGATTATCCAGTGCCCACACTGGATGATCCCACTGATGACATCCATCATTCAGCAAGCCTTGATACAGTATTCTGCTAAACTGCCTTCTAGTCTTCTCTTAGCATATTTCAGGAAGTCCAGTAAAACTCTATGGGTGTATCTATCCTGCTCTCAAAGGTTACATTGTAAAAAAAGAGTTATAATATAGAATACTTCCTATTAATTTAATATAGCTAGAACTGAATGAACTGATTTAATTCTCATATAACTGAGAATTTCTACATGGTCCAGAGTTGAGATTAAGAGACTTGTTTGTGCCCTCTGGAGCCTTGCCTTCCCTTTGCCTACCTGTTTGCTTTTTTTCTGCATTGTTCTGTGTGTTGTTTAGTCACTGTCGTGTCTGACCCTTTGCCACCCCATGGACTACAGCATGCCAGGCTTCCCTGTTCTTCACTATCTCCCAGAGTTTGCTCAAACTCATGTCCATTGAATCAGTGATTGTTCAGCATGAGCCTAACAAAATGAGGGCCCTGCAGCCTCTTTAATGAATGGTGCTTGGAAAACTGGACAGCTACACGTAAAAGAATGAAATTAGAGCACTTCCTAACATCATGCACAAAGATAACTCAAAATGGATTAAGACCTAAATATAAGACCAGAAACTATAAAACTCCTAGAGGAAAACATAGGCTGAACACTCGATGACATAAATCAAAGCAAGATCCTCTATGACCCACCTCCTAGAGTAACAGAAATAAAAGCTAAAGTAAACAAGTGGGACCTGATTAAACTTAAAAGCTTTTGCACAGAAAAAGAAACTGTAACAAAATGGAAAGACAACCCTCAGAATGGGAGAAAATAATAGCAAATGAAACAACTGACAGGGGATTAATTTCCAAAATATGCAAGCAGTTCATACAACTCAATGACAGAAAAACAAACCAACCCAATCAAAAAGTGAGAAAAAGACCTAAACAGACATTTCTCCAAAGAAGACACACAGATAACTAACAAACACATGAAAAGATGCTCAACATTGCTCATTATTAGAGAAATGCAAATCAAAACTACAGTGAGATATCATTTCACACCAGTCAGAATGGCCATCATCAAAAAGTCTATAAATCCTGGAGAAGGTGTGGAGAAAAGGGAACACTCTTGCACTGTTGGTGGGGATGTAAATTGATACAGTCACTGTGGAAGATGGTATGGAGATTCCTTTAAAAAATCAGAATAAAACCACCATATGACCCAGCTATCCCACTCTTAGGCACATAACCTGAGGAAACCAAAATTGAAAAAGACACATGTATCCCATTGTTCACTGCAGCACTATTTACAATAGCTAGAATGTGGAAGCAACCTAGATGTCCACTGACAGATGAATGGATAAAGAAGTTGTGGTACATATACACAATGGAACATTACTCAGCCATAAAAAGGAACACATTTGAGTCAGTTCTAATGAAGTGGATGAACCTAGAACCTATTATACAGACTGAAGTAAGTCAGAAAGAGAAAGATAAATATTGTATTCTAACACATATATACGGAATCTAGAAGAATGGTACTGAAGAACTTATTTACAGGGCAGCAATGGAGAAACAGACATAAGGAATAGATTTACAGACACAGGGAGAGGGGAGGAGAGGGTGAGATGTATGGAAAGAGTAACAGGGAAACTTACATCACCATATGTAAAATAGAGAGCCAGTGGGAATTTGCTGTCTGGCTCAGGAAACTCAAACAGGGGCTCTGTATCAACCTAGAGGGTGGGGTGGGGTGGGAGATGGGAGCAAGTTTCAAAAGGGAGGGAATGTATGTATACCTATGGCTGATTCATGTTGAAGTTTGACAGAAAACAGAAAAATTCTGTAAAGCAATTATCCTTCAATTAATAAATTAAAACATAGTGGGAAAAAAAAAATGAGGGCCCTGAATAGCAAAGTCCTCATGGAAAGCAGGTATTCATCTCTGTTTTAAAAACTAAGAATCGTTATTATATTTATTTATATTTATTCCAACATTAGAGTAAGTGTGTGTGATCTTTGTGACTTTAGAAATAGAGATTTTGGACACAGCACGTGTAGGACTCAAGATATTGCTCAGACATACAATAGCCACTCCGCTTAGCATGCCTCACAGCTATTTCTCAGGTGTGTAAGAGACTGTAACTCCCGATTCTAAAAGGTTTGTCCGCCATGTTCCTTGACTCTTATTCCATTTCGTAAGAGGTAAGGTTCTGTGGTGATATCAAGCACAAGAATCATATTAAAAATATCTATTTTGTGTTTCAGTTTATTATTTTTACAAAGCTTATATACATATATATATATATGTTTGTGCCTCTGTGTCTCTGGATGTACGTGTGTGTTCATGTGTAGTATGTTTATAGGCATGTGTGTGAAGCATATGTGTATTTGTGTGGTATGTGGATCTGTGTATGTATGTGTATATGTGTGTATGTGTCTGTATGTTCATTTAGTTCTTTCTGCTGAGAGGACTTAGAAGCACTTATAAACCAGTAGCAAGGAGCACATAATAGCATGCTGTTTCCTAAATACCACTCCCCATAAAATAAAAACAAAGGTCCTTGGAAAATTCTTGACTCCATGTTTCAGACAGTGAAAGAATAAGATGACCTTGGTACATCTTATGCCAGAAAGCAATAAAATCTTCAAATAATATTGGAGCTTGTGACAAGGACTTAAGCGTTGTTTTGATCTTTCCCTTTGGCAAACAGGAGATAATTGTCTAGATGGAATGAACATTTTATCCCCTCTTTGAATTCATATGTTGAAATTCTAACCACCAGTGAGATGGGTTTGGAGGTGGGGCTTTTGAGAGGTGACTAGGTTTGATGAGATTGTGAGAGTGAAGCACTTGCAAGAGACATCTGAACGCCCCTCCTTTTTCCAAGTGCACACCAAGAAGAGCCCATATGAGCACACAGTGAGATGGCAGCCACCTACAAGCCCAGAGAAGAAGCCCTGGGATGAAACCTGCCTTTATAATGCCTTGTTCCTGAGCTTGTAACCTCTAGAATTGTGAGAAATACATTTGCGTCGTCCAAGTCAACAACCGTATGATGTTTTGTTACAGTAACCTGAGCTGACTAATAAAGGAGACAACGGAGCTTCAAAATAATTAAGGAATAAGATGATATAGGAGCCCATGAGTATATACTGATGTAGATAAATTCATGACTACATAATAAGTGAGAGAAAAGGAAAAGCTGTTTCTTACAGTGAATGCTAATTAATAATATAGAAGAAATGATGGCATTGGAGATGTGTATTCAGAGCACTGGGCTTCCCAGGTGGCACTAGTGGTAAAGAACCTGCCTGCCAATGCAGGAGTTGTAAGAGACTAGAGTTCGATCCTTGGGTCAGAAAGATCCCCTGGAGGAGAGCATGGCAACCCACTCCAGTTTTCTTACCTGGAGAATCCCTTGGGCAAAGGAGCCTGGCGGGCTACAGTCCATAGGGTCTCACAGAGTCAGACACAACTGAAGCGACTTAGCATGCACACTTGCTTCAGAGCATATTAAGAATGATCATTGAGTGAAAGTTTGATGAAAAACAGGATAACTGCTTAGTTTTGAAATATTTTTCCTACCAAACAGCTTATTAGTTAGAAATGGAAACAAGAAAATTTATAGTCAAGAAACAATCTGGTTACCCAAACAATGTTAATATCACCAACAATGAGGCAAATGGCCATCAAGTGCCCCTGGGGTGCCTGGTATTGGATTATGTGCCATCCTACAGAGTACTATAGGACGTAACATCAGTTTAATGGAATTCCTCCCCAAGCTGCTAACATGGATCTAATCATGTGGAAACCAAACTAAAAATAAAAATAAGCGTTCTTGCCTGGAGAATCCCATGGACAGAGGATCCTGGTGGGCTACAGTCCATAGGGTCACAAAGAATTGGACGCAACTGAAGTGACTTAGTATGCATACATATATATATTCATATATATATGAGGGCAGGAGGAGAAGGGGGTGACAGAGTATGAGATGGTTGGATAACTTCACTGATTCGATGGACATGAGTTGAGCAGACTCTGGGAGATAGTGAAGGACAGGGCAGCCTGGAGTGCTGCAGACCATGAGGTCACAAAGAATCAGACATGACTTAGTGACTGAACAACAACAATATAAATTCATATCTATTTCATATATATATGTTATATATGAAAGTTCAAGTATCTAATGATGTCTAATGATCTAGTATCACAATGTCATCACCAGGATACCCTCCTGGATGACTTGCATTCTGTGTTCCAGGGAATGATTTCTTCCTTTCTCACAGGTTGGACCACTACACATGGATGCCCATCAAGCCTGCACAGTTGAGTCTCTCACTCAACTGCCACTGAAGTCAGAACTGACCTTGGAACCCTGGGGCAGGACCCTTCCAGCCCCAGGGAGCAGCAGTTGGCCTCACACCGGCAGATCCTTTGGACAATTGCATGACTTAAAGCTAGACTTTCAGGCCTTCCTTCTCCACCAAGATCTCCAGGAGGGGAAACCCTGGGACTGTTCCTGTCACTATGAGCAAAGACAGAACTTCCTTATTCTGTAGGTTGAATGATTACAAGCCCTTAAAGAACACATCAGGAAGGTACGTAAGGCCCATCTACAGTTTTTTTCCTATTAATTTACCAGTTGTTGTTGAGTCACTAAGTTGTGTCCGACTCTTTGCAACTGTGTGGATGGTAGCACACCAGGCTCCACGGGGTTATCCAGGCAAGAGTACTGGAGTGGGTTGCCATTTTCTTCTCCAAATTTACCAGTAATAACTCAATTATACTTTTGAAAAATATATACTAAATAGCGTTTATACTTAGACCTGGATCTCAGGACTTATGCTTTCAAAATACTTTTTAAGCTAAATTTCTAATTTCTTTTCTCACAAATTATAACAAGAAATGGTGCTTTGAAATACAGGTCGCACTATGTTTAAATACATCATGAAATTAATGAATTAGGAAATTAACTGTGTTTATCAAACATCCTTCAATTCACTTTCCTGATTTATCAAGTCTAAGGTTTTGACTGAGACTTAAAATTATGACACATTCTGTGAACTCTTTTTTGGTGTATGTTTAACAATAAGAACAAAAAAGTTGTGTGTCCACAATATGCAAATATATATGTGTATATATACACACACATATATATGTGTGTATATACAAACATGTAAATATATACTAGAACAATTTTTTAAAATTTGAATATAGACTATATTTTAGTTAATAGTGTGTTGATGTTGAGTTTCTAGTTTTTTACTTTTGTACTGTGGTTATATAAGAAGTGTTCTTATATTTAAGTATTTAAGGGGTGATAAATTCTTGTGTCTGCAACTATTTTCAAATAATTTAGAAGAAAATATGGAGAGAGAGTGAGTGATAAAGTAATGGGGCAAAATTATATATATACATACATATATGTATAGACATACACACACACATACATACATGTATATGTGTATCTATATATCTTTTGAGGTTTGGGTATGTTGTTGTTGCTCTGTTGCTAAGTTGTGTCTGACTCTTTGCAACTCCATGAACTGCAGCGTGGCAGGCTTCCCTGTCCTTTACTATCTCCCAGAGTTTGTGCAAACTCATGTCCATTGAGTCATTGATGCCATCCAGCCATCTCATCCCTGTCATCCCCTTCTCCTCTTGTCCTTAATCTTTCCCAGCATCAGTGTCTTTTCTAATGAGTCAGCTCTTCGCATCAGGTGGCCAAAGTATTGGCGCTTTAGCTTCAGCATCAGCCCTTCCAGTGAATATTCAGGATTGATTTCCCAAAAGTTTGATCTCCTTGCAGTCCAAGGGACCCTGAAGAGTCTTCTCCAGCACCATGGTTTGAAAGCATCAGTTTGGTGCTCAGCCTTCTTTTTGGTCCAACTCTCATATCAGTTCATGACTAGTGGCAAAACCATAGCTTTGACTATATGGACCTTTATTGGCAAAGTAATGTCTCTGTTTTTTAATATGCTATCTGAGTTTGTCATAGCTTTTCTTCCAAGGAGCAAGTGTCTTTTCATTTTGTGGCTGCAGTCACCATTCTCAGCAATTTTGGAGCCAAAGAAAATGAAATCTGTCACTGTTTCCACTTTTCCCCCATCTATTTGCCATGATTTTTTGAATGTATATATTTCAGATGCTTTTAGCTCCTCTGCCAGCTAAATACATAATAATTTTCCATTTTGTGTCTTAATTCTCAGATGTTTTTAACATATTTGGACTCACATCAGTCCTAGGAGGTAGAACCAAATTGGTTCCCAGGAATATGTGACCAGTACCTACACTAGTCTCACTGTTATATTTCTTCCCTGCACATATTTTGGTTTGTGTGTTCTGTCTAAACTCTTTTCATTATGATTTGTTCATAGCCAATTATTTCCTTTTAATTTCCCTAAGAATTTGTTCAAACATTGCATCCAGTTTGCTTCTTTGATTATTAACATGCAAGAAAGCCCACACTAGAAAATATTTTTTTCTCTTTAAAGTCCTTCGTATTATGCATCACATGTAAGTATATGTGAGATGCATGCTTGTTTCAAAAAGTTCCACTATAATACACTTAATACAAAAGCATCATAATTGAACCTAACAAAGTTTCTGTAGATCAGATTCAAACAAATGTATTTTTCAAGTACATTAAATTCAGAATCTTTGATATTACCTCTTATGGTTAGGATACAAGATGCTCTAAGTATTTGTTAACAATTAAAATATTCAAAATTGTGTCATTCTATTTCTATAGGGCATATCTTTTCTAAGGTGCTAAGGGAATTTGCCCATTTACTGGTAGGCGTTGATTTGAATCCAACAGAGTCATTATTCTATGAGAACTACTGCTTCATAAAGATTGAAGTGGCAGTGGAGACACTGAGAGTAGGGCTTTTGTATTCTCTTTGCATTTGGTTAAGAATTCTGATAGTTCCTGGAGGAATCAACCTGCCTAACTTCAGACTGCTGCTGCTGCTGCTGCTAAGTCGCTTCAGTCGTGTCCGACTCTGTGCAACCCCATAGATGGCAGCCCACCAGGCTCCCCCGTCCCTGGGATTCTCCAGGCAAGAACACTGGCGTGGGTTGCCATTGCCTTCTCCAGACTTCAGACTATACTACAAAGCTAAGTCATCAAGACAGCATGGTACTGGCACAAAGACAGAAATATAGATCAATGTAACAGAATAGAAAGCCCAGAGATAAATCCATGCACCTGTGAGCACCTTATCTTTGACAAAGGAGGCAAGAGTGTACAATGGAGAAAAAACAATGTTTTTAACAAGTGGTGCTGGGAAAACTGGTCAACCATCTGTAAAAGAATGAACTGGAACACTTTCTAACACCATATAGAAAAATAAACTCAAATGGATTAAAGATCTAAATGTAAGACCAGAAACTATAAAACTCTTAGAGGAAAACATAAGCAAAACACTCTCTGACATAAATCACAGCAGGATCCTCTATGACCCACCTCCCAGAGTAATGGAAATAAAAGCAAAAATAAACAAATGGGACCTAATTAAACTTAAAAGCTTTTGCACAACAAAGGAAACTATAAGCAAGGTGAAAAGACAGCCTTCAGAATGGGAGAAAATAATAGCAAACAAAGCAACTGACAAAGAATTGATTTCCAAAATATTCAAGCAGCTCATACAGCTCAATACCAGAAAAATAAATGACCCAATTTAAAAAAATGAGCCAGAGAGCTAAACAGACATTTCTCCAAAGAAGACACACAAATGGCTAACAAACACATGAAAAGATGCTCAACATCACTCATTATCAAAGAAATGCAAATCAAAACCACAATGAGGTTCCATCTCACACTGATTAGAATGGCTGCTATCAAAAAGTCTACAAAAAATAAATGCTTGAGACAGTGCAGAGAGAAGGGAACCCCCTTACACTGTTGGTGGGAATGCAAACTAGTACAGCCACTGTGGAGAACAGTGTGGAGACTCCTTAAAAAGCTGAAAATAGAACTGCCATGTGACCCAGCAATCCCACTGTTGGGCATACACACTGAGGAAACCAGAATTGAAAGAGACACTTGTACCCCAATGTTCGTTGCAGCACTGTTTACAATAGCTAGGACATGGAAGCAACCTAGATGTCCATTGGCAGAAAATGGATAAGAAAGTTGTGGTACATATACACAATGGAATATTACTGAGCTATTAAAAAGAATGCATTTGAATCAGTTCTAATGAGGTGGATGAAACTGGAGCCTATTATACAGTGAAGTAAGTCAGAGAGAAAAACACCAATACAGTATATTAAAGCATATATATGGGATTTAGAAAGAATGATAATGATGACCCAGTATGCGAGACAGCAAAAGAAACACAGATATAAAGAAGAGACTTTTGGACTCTGTGGGAGAAGGCGAGGATGGGATGATTTGAGAGAATAGCATTGAAACATCTATATTACCATATGTGAAATAGATCACCAGTCAAGTTTGATGCATGAAACAGGGCACTCAAAGCCAGTACACTGGGAAAACCCAGAGGAATGGGATGGGGAGGGAGGTGGGATGGGGGTTCAAGATGGGGGACACATGTACACCCAGGGCTGATTCATGTCAATGTATGGCAAAACCCACCACAATGTAAATGTTTACAACTTTACAATGTTGTAAAGTAATTAGCCTCCAATTAAAATAAATTAATTAATTAAAAAATAATTCTGATAGTTCCACTCCAGTTCTAACTCTAGCATCATATGGGAGTTTAAATCCAGATTATTATTTATTGACAATATTTTAGACATAATCATAAGTTACCAATTATATTTCTGTGTTCCTGTGTTTCTTGTTTTCCCTCTCTCTTGAATTCAGTGTTTGTCCTGCACTAGAGAACATCCTGGAGGACTTCTTTCAGAAAAGTCTGGGTCATACACTTCCTACCTCTTTGCATGTCCAAAATTTTCTTTCACTTGCTTTTATACTTGCATTTTTTATTTGCCAGCCTCAGAGTTTGCTAGAGAGTGATAGGACTAACTATCCCATTAACTGAGCGATCCTCTGGGAATGGAGATTTAATGCTATTATATTAATAAAGTAGTATAGACTGTATATAATGCTTGTGTGTGTGTGTCTGCATATTCGGTCGTGTCTGATTCTTTGTGACTCCATGGACTGTAGCCTGCCAGGCTTTTCTGTCCCTGGAATTTTCCAATCAAGAATACTGGAGCAGGTTGCCATTTCTTTCTCCAGGGTATCTTCCTGACCCAGGGATCGAATCTGTATCTTTTGTGTCTCCTGGATTAGCTGGCAGATTCTTTATCAGCTGAGCCACTGAGGGGCTTACCAGTAAGCTATTTTACATATGGGGGTAGTGTAGATTTTCAATGATTACATTAATATTTAAATTCGTCTCTAAGAAGAAACAGTTTGGAATAGTGACCTTCCTTAATCAAGTCAGTAAAACTATAAGCTGAGAGCCGAAGAATTGATGCTTTTGAACTGTGGTGTTGGAGAAGACTCTTGAGAGTCCCTGGGACTGCAAGGAAATCAAACCAGTGAATCCTAAAGGAAATCAGTCCTGCATATTCATTGAAAGGACTGATGTTGAAGCTGAAAACTCCAATACTTTGGCCACCTGATGAGAAGAACTGACTCATTTGAGAGGACCCTGATGCTGGGGAAGATTGAAGGTGGGAGGAGAAGGGGACAACAGAGGATGAGATGGTTGGATGGCATCACCAACTCAGTGGACATGAGTTTGAGTAAACTCCAGGAATTGGTGATGGACAGAGAAGCCTGGTGTGCTGCAGTCCATGGGGTTGCAAAAAGTCGGACACAACTGAGCGACTGAACTGACTGACTGAAAACTATCTTTGCCTTGAAGAAATTATTTCTCCAACTACATGATCTGAACCTGGAAGTAGTCTACTCTTATCCAGGGTGTCCTAAATCTGGTCAACCATTTCACATTTTCTATGAGCATTATAAAAATCCAGGATATGTATTTTGGAGGTATCTCTAGATTTTTACTCTTTTCTGTTGGTCAGAAATTATTTGTTATGACTCTTTAAATACTTTATGCTAAGATTTGCTGTCCTGTATCTTTCTTTATCCTCATTTAGGTTGATTAATTTTTTCCATGTTTGCCTTTATCTGTCTTTTACTTTCTATATTATAGCATCAAGGATGAAAAAGATTCTCAGAACTTGATGTTAGAAAAAACCAAAGAAGAGGAGTCTTTAAGAAATTCCAGCTTGGTTTTAGGAGCAAGAGTGAGTGTCAGTCACAGCCCAGGAAGACTCATAAAATGGAAAAAAGCAAAACTAAAATAATGATAATAAACTTGCTAAATAATCTCAATTCATTGGATTTCAACCTGAAAAGTGCCTTTTCATAAGAGATCAGCCCTACTTTTTTGGAAAGGGAGGCAGTTATCAAAATTATAAGGATAAAAATGAGACTGTTCATATGAATTTTTAATACTATCCCCAAATTTATTGAAAAATAATACATTTTAGCAATCAGTTTTCTATTTACTATTCAAGAAAACTAATAGTCCCCAGTACCTCCTAGCTTTTTCTAGAAGTGATTTAAAATTTTGTAAACTTAAGATAGAAAACCTACTTACCTGATTTTGTAGAAAATGCCAGGGCCAATGGAGCGATGTGATAAACTGGATATGTCAGCTGTGATCACATTGGAGTCAGCTTTGGACAGAGAGCAAATTTCCAGAAAGATCCTTCCAGAGGCTGTGCCAGTCACTCTAAACCGGTGAGACCAACTGATACCATTTTTAAAATAATTGTTTTATTATCTGGTTGCAAAATGTTGTGTTTAGTTTCTTCCTAAGACATAAAGGATGGGTTTTTTTAAAGAACAGATTTATTTCTATGAAAAGAGATGAAAGTTTGAAAGCAATTAGTTAATTTTAACATATGTACTTTCAACAGGCTTTAATTGATTCCAGTATCTCTACAAAATGATATCAATATACTAAAAACTAAACCATCTGTGAATGAAATTTGTTGTTTTCCCCTTATTTGCAAAATTTCCTTGATTCATTATTGTTATTGTTCAATAATGAAAGTGTCCTACAATTGGAGAGTGGTGACAGTTGCACAACTCTATGGATATACTAAAAACCACTGAATTTACACTTTAAAGTGAATTTCATGTATGTGAGTTATATCTCAATAAAGCTGTTATAAAATAAAAAAAAATTTCCTTGATTCACAGTTACCTCAAATCCTCTAGTAAGAAATACCTTGTATATGTAGAAAAAATGTTTTGAATAGCAATAGAATGAGGTAAACTCAAAATGCGGCATATTTCCCATGGACCTTTAACTATTAAATGACCTTTAACTTCTACTGAGGTTAGTTTCCATGTATTTTTAATTATAGCTGTAACTTGCACATGGCAATATGTACATTTTTTAAAGGGTGTCTCTCTCCATTCTGTTTGCTGTTCAGTAAAGCAGTTAGTTTCATTCTTACCACAAACATAGAGCAAATTAAACTCCAACAATATGTATGACAATATGATAATCCTACAAATAGACAGTAAACATAGCTGATAAATACATCAGTGTATTTGAGGTGGTGTACTATTAGAGCATAAAAGGAAAAAAAGAAAGAAAATTCGAAAACATGACAGCTGTCTCCTACATCAGTGTGCTCCAAAAGAATCATTTTAATGAGTCAAGAAGAAATATAAGCCTCTGAGGGCCTCTTTCAGGCTTAAAGACTAATTCACTTAACTGTCATCAACATTTGAATCAACTTCAATGCAAAAGTTGAAATACTTAAAGCCAAAAGCTTCATATATTACAAATGATCCAGTTATAAGACCAGTATACTTTATTTAAACATGAAAAAGACATTCCTCAGTGTGTGGATGATACAATGTAAAGAGCTATCTGTGTAATCTTCCAGAAAAAAGCACATTATTTCATCTTATGCACAGAGCATCTCAGTTCACACATTTGCTCAAAAGTAGGCATGTAAATCAGACAGAAAATAGTATATGTATATACATTTATTTGCTCCATTATTTCAATTCCCTATGAAACAAATCCTGATATGGGTTATTTGGAATGTTGTAAGTAATAAATTCAGCTTGACTGAAGTCTCTTAACTGCATTAGCCCCACATTCCAGTTAAGTGAGATCCACTTATAAGTCAGTCTCCTGCACTTTGCATTTAATGGTGTCTTCCCTTTTCTCTGCCTCTTTTAGTAAAACGAAAGCCAGAGAGAAGTACCAATCTGACCTGTGGTTAGAAATTGAACACCCGAATAAAGGTGAGAAGCTCAGATCTAAAAGGGTATGGGGCTAGCTGTTGCCTAAGTCAGTACCTATTGCACTCCATGTCCATGAGTCCGGTTAACTGCAAGAGAACCAGTTTACTATGTAGGTGGAAAATTAGCTCTCATAAGCCAGCTTGGAGCCCAAGGTTAAGGTGTGTGTGTATGTCTACTCTTGTTTAATAAAATGCTCAAAGAGTCATTTTGTTTGGCTTTATTTCATACAACTTAGAGATTTTTCTATCACAGTGGAAGCAAAGTATTTTACTTTAAGTGGGGTTACCTTTTATAAATACCTTTTTGTAATAAAATTTTTTCATTTTATACCAGTCACATCCCAGTTTTTGGAAGCTCCCGTGTGTCGCAGCATAAGATAAAGCCACTCAGGCAGTGAGAAAATCTGCTATTCAAATTAGACAGAGTCAAGGCAGTGCATGTCTGTGTTCAGAGCTGGAGCCAAAGTGGGGAGATGGCCAAGTGCAGCTGAGGAGACAGCATCATGGGAGATGCCTCAGATTTTGCATCAGGATGCTCCTGATCCTCCTCCCTTTTTTTTCCCCACGGTTCATGTTTAAAAAAAAACTTTTAATTGGAGGATAATTGCTTTATAATGTTGTGTTGGTTTCTGCCATACAACAATGTGGATCAGCCATAAGTACACATGTGGCCCCTTCCTCTTGAACCTCCCTCCCACTCCCCACCCCTCTAGGTTGTTACAGACCATCAGGTTGAGCTCCCTGTGTTATAATGCAACTTCCCACTAGCTATGTATTTTATACACAGAAGTGTATATATGTCATTGCTAGTCTTTCAGTTCATCCCACCCTCTTCTTCCCCATCTGTGTCAACAAGTTTTTCCTCTATGTTTGCATCCCTATTCCTGCCCTGAAACTAGGTTCATCAGTACTATTTTTCTAGATCCCATATATATGCACTCATATATATTTGTTTTTCTCTTTCTGACTTACTTCACTCTGTATGATGGACTCTGGATTCATCCACATCACTACAAATGACCCATTTTCACTCTTTTTTGTGGCTAATACTCCATTTTATATAGAATTTAATAAAAAATAAACTGTGGGTGTTACCTTTAACTGAAGGGATATTTCATTTTCTCAACAGAAACTGCTTCTTATGCAAATATGTTAGTGGAGCTTCTACCTGTCTAAGTTCACCTTTCCTTTCATTCCACAGTTTTTTGGTTCACATTGGATTGTATCAGAGTCGGATGAACCTTCAAGAGCTGATCAACATTCTGGAGGGGAGGGAATAGGTGAATCAGGAATTCAGGATAGGCAAATTCTGGAAGTAAATATTTGTGGGTTGACTTTTTAAGGACAATAGAAGAAACAATTAAAAAGTGCTTGAGTATCCTTACAAAGACAAGAACCAAGATAGTCCTAATTCAAGAGAAGGGTAGAATAAGTGATGCACTGAATATAGAATAAGTGATATAGCAAGTTCAGGTGGTGGTGGCCTCAGGGCAGATTCTCCAGCAAAGGAATCAAAGCCAGGATATTGCTCACTACAGAGCACCAGCAGATGGGGTCCTTCAGAACCCTGAAAACTTGATAAGTGGGAGTAGTGCTAGGCTTGACATTTTTTTGAAGGAACCTAAAAACAAAGACTATATTATCACAATACTTTATCAAGTTAACATTTTAAGCTTTTAACATGAAGTTTTATTTTTCAGTTCAGTTCAGTTCAGTCACTCAGTCATATCCAACTCTTTGCGACCCCACGTACTGCAGCACACCAGGCCTCCCTGTCCATCACCAACTCCTGGAGTTTACTCATGTCCATTGAGTTGGTGATGCCATCCAGCCATCTCATCCTCTGTCGTCCCCTTCTCCTCCCACCTTCAATCTTTCCCAGCTTCAGGGTCTTTTCAATGAGTCAGTTCTTCGCATTAGGTGGCCAAAGTATTGGCATCTCAGCTTCAACATTAGTCCTTCTAATGAATATTCAGGGCTGATTTCCTTTAGGATGGACTGATTGGATCTCCTTGCAGTCCCAGGGATTCTCAAGAGTCTTCTCCAACACCACAGTTCAAAAGCATCAATTCTTCAGCACTTAGCTTTCTTTGTAGTCCAACTCTCACATCCATATATGACTACTGGAAAGACCATAGACTTGACTAGACGGACCTTTGTTGGCAAACTAATGTCTCTGCTTTTTAACATGGTGTCAAGGTTGGTCACAACCTTTCTTCCAAGGAGCAAGCGTCTTAATTTCATGGCTGCAGTCACCATCTGTAGTGATTTTGGAGCCCCCAAAAATGAAGTCTGTCACTGTTTCACTTTTATTTGTCACAGTATTATTTTTACCATTATTTTTTCCTCTGAATGCTGCAGAACAGTACAATCCTTATGCAGTATTATGTGACATTTCTGAACACAATTCCTTATTTGACTATTAAGAGATTGTGTTAGTGATTTAGAGCTGAAAATTCACAGTCATGGCAATATCAGTTGTTAAATGTATGCTTATTGGAGAAGGTCTAAATTCATACTTTTTATTCTCTCGTATTTAAATAAAGCTGTAATCATACCATAAGATTTTATTTTTTAATATATTTAAAGTTAGTACAATTGCTAAATGATAATGTATGGAATTTTTTTTTAATTCCTTTAAGGAAAAAAAGAAACTTGTAGTTGAATATTTTATTCTGTCTAAATAAATAAAGCCTTGATACTATCATAAAAGTTTTAAGTATAATTAACATTTGTTTTACTCTGCCTGTGTTCTTCTTATAGATAACTTAGGCTAAGAAATGCATACATTTGACCTTCCATATTTGTGAGTTCCATGTCTGTGGATTTACCCAACTCAGATAAAAAATACAAAATAAAAGATTTCTGGAAAATTTCCAAAAGGAAAACTTGACTTTGCTGTGCACCAGCAGCTATTTACATAGAATTTATGTTGAATTTCCCAACTTCCAGAAACTATTAACATAGCATTTACATTGTATTCAGTACTATAAATAACCTAGAGATGATTTAAAGTATACAGGAGGATGTGGGCAGGTTATTACATGCAAATACTACATTACTTCATGTAAAGAACTCGAGCATCAGAGGACTTTGGTATCTACAAGGGGTACTGAAAGCCATCTCCTATGGATACTAACAGATACTGGGTACCTGGGAGGAATAATTTGAAATTTATTCCTGCTGTGGGGAGAAGCTAACATAGAAAAAGCATCCATCATGGGCATGACCATATTGCTGAAATCCTCTTGAGGCTTCTAAAAATGCTCCAAAATCTATTTAAATGTAATATTATTAAGGAAAAGAAAAATGACTTGACACACAGGAGTTAATTCATGAAAATTTACATAATTTATTTATATAGTTTCATTATAAATTTAACATAAATTTACTAAAATTATTTCATTTGAGATGCATAATTCTCAGACATATTTAATATATAAAAATAAATATAAACCTATTTTTATTTAAATATATATATTTATACAATGTGTCAGCAAATTTGGAAAACTCAGAAGTGACCACAGGACTGGAAAAGGTCAGTTTTCATTCCAATCCCAAAGAAAGGCAATGCCAAAGAATGCTCAAACTACTGCACAATTGCACTCATCTCACGCACTAGTAAAGTAATGCTCAAAATTCTCCAAGCCAGGCTTCAACAGTACGTGAACCATGAACTTCCAGATGTTCAAGCTGGTTTTAGAAAAGGCAGAGGAATCAGAGATCAAATTGCCAACATCCATCAAAAAAGCAAGAGAGTTCAAGAAAAACATCTATTTCTGCTTTATTGACTATGCCAAAGCCTTTGACTGTGTGGATCACAATAAACTGTGGAAAATTCTGAAAGAGATGCGAATACCAGACCACCTGACCTGCCTCTTGAGAAACATGTATGCAGGTCAGGAAGAAACAGTTAGAACTGGACATGGAACAACAGACTGGTTCCAAATAGGAAAAGGAGTGTGTCAAGGCTGTATATTGTCACCCTGCTTATTTAACTTACATGCAGAGTACATCATGAGAAACACTGGGCTGGATGAAGCACAAGCTGGAAGCAAGATTGCTGGGAGAAATACCAATAACCTCAGATATGCAGACGACACCACCCTTATGGCAGAAAGTGAAGAGGAGCTAAAAAGCCTCTTGATGAAAGTGAAAGAGGAGAGTGAAAAAGTTGGCTTAAAACTCAACATTCAGAAAACTAAGATCGTGGCATCTGGTCCCATCACTTCATGGCAAATAGATGGGGAAACAGTGGAAACAGTGGCTGACTTTATTTTGGGGGGCTCCAAAATCACTGCAGATGGTGTTGGCAGCCATGAAATTAAAAGATGCTTACTCCTTGGAAGGATAGTTATGACCAACCTAGACAGCATGTTAAAAAGCAGAGACATCACTTTGTCAACAAAGGTCCGTCTAGTCAAGGCTATTGTTTTTCCAGTGGTCATGTATGGATGTGAGAGTTGGACTATAAAGAGGGCTGAGCGCAAAAGAATTGATGCTTTTGAACTGTGGTGTTGGAGAAGACTTTTGAGGGTCCCTTGGACTGCAAGGAGATCCAACCAGTCCATCCTAAGAGAAATTGGTCCTGGGTGTTCATTGGAAGGACTGATGTTCAAGCTGAAACTCCAGTATTTTGGCCACCTGATGCAAAGAGCTGACTCATTTGAAATGACCATAATGTTGGGAAAGATTGAAGGTAGGAGGAGAAGGGGACGACAGAGGATGAGATGGTAAGATGGCATCACCGACTCAATGGCCATGAGTTTGAATAAACTCCGGGAGTTGGTGATGGACAAGGAGGCCTGGCGTGTAGCAGTTCATGGGGTCGCAAAGAGTCGGACACGTCTGAGTGACTGAACTGAACTGAACTGAACTGATGTATACAAGGGCTTCCCAGGTGTCACTAGCTTTAAAGAACCTGCCTGCTAATGCAGGAGATGTTAAGAGACGTGGTTTTGATTCCTGGGTCAGGAAGATCCCCTGGAGGAGGGCATGGCAACCCACTCCAGTTCTTGCCTGGAGAATTCCTTGGACAGAGGAACCTGGTGGGCTACTGTCCATAGGGTCGCACAGAGTCAGACACAACTGAAGCAACTTATCACGCATGCACATAATAAGTCAGGTTATCTCCAAAAATATGGTCTGAAAACAATTTTAAAAGATTAAGGTTGAAAAAGGCATGAATGTTAGTTTCAGTTTTCTTATTTATAAACTGCTTGCTGTTGTCTTCCAGGTTTTGGGCTACAAGACCCAAGTTCATCTTCCTTGGCACTTTTTAATACAACTTCTAATGCCATGGCTCAGTGTGAAGTAAGTACTAAACTTCTTGGGTATGTGCTGCAGCCACTTCAGAAGTTACTGATGCTCTGAGTAGCACTTCCCTTTGCAATAAAACTCTTTTAGTATCATTCCATGGGAGAGGACTGAAGGCTTGACATAGGCACATAACAAAGAAGCAGTTTTCATGGAAGTAAGCCTGCAAGTTTCTGTAGGCTGTAAAGTCATCTATATTAGAATTAAAATAACAAAATATTTTACATTGTGAACTCTGACACACATGAAGAAAAGTACATAAAACACCTGTTACCTGCTCTCGGGTGAAGATCGGAAACATGATTGATGCCCCCACAAGTGTTCCCTTCCTCAGAAAGAGCAAGCCCTCTCTTTCTGCTGGGGGCAATTGCTACTCTGCTGCTCACCTTGTTTTTTGTTATGTTTTTACACTCAATGAATGTATGCATCCCTAAAAAAGAGGATTTAATTTTAGAATGTAAGTAGAATCACTCTGTACATGTTCTTTTGTGTCACAGCTTTGAGTGGGTGAGTTTCATTTATGTGTAGTAATAATATGTTCAACTGTATTTCAGTATATGTGATCATCCATTATGTGAATATACAGTAGTTTATTTACCCATTCTGTTTTTGGGGAATCCTTGGATATGTGTCTGGTTCCAGTCAGGAAACTAAGAACTGTAACAGTAATAGAGATGTTTCATTTTATCTATTTATTTTGTAAAACTTTATTTAGGTGCAATTGATGTACAACTGATGTACATATTTAGTGTATACAATTTGATGACTTTGGACATACACATATAGCCATGACACTATCACCACAATCAAAGTAATAGATATGTCCATTACCTCCAAAAGTTTCCTTTTGCTTCTTTTTATTGTTGTTGTAGGAACACTTTTGTCCCCCACATTGCTTGCTGGATCTTGGTTCTCTGACCAGGGATTGAACCGAGGCCCTCAGCAGTGGAAGCAGGGAATCCTAACTACTAGACTGCCAGGGAATTCCTGTAAGAACACTTAACATAAACTCTCTTAACAAGTTTTCAAGTACACAATGCAAAATGGTTAGCTATTGGCACAACTTTGTACCGCAGATCTCCAGAATTTATTCATCTTGCATAAGTGAAACTTTGTACTTATTAACAGACGTTTCCCCACTTTTCCTCCCCTTGAGTCATCGGCAACCAGCATTCCACTCTCTACTTCTGTGAGTTTGACTACTTTAGAATCTTCCCATAAGTGGAATCATGTAGTATTTGTCATTCTGTAACTGGCTTATTTCACTTAATGTCCTCTGGGTTCATTCACGTGAAAGTGGAAGTGTTAGTCACTCAGTCGTGTACGACTCTTTGTGACCCCATTGACTATGAATATCCAGGATTCATTTCCTTTAGAATTGACTGGTTTGATCTCCTTGCAGTCCAGGGGCCTCTCAGGAATCTTCTCCCACACCACAATTCAAAAGCATCAATTCTTTGGTGTTCAGCCTCCATTATGGCCCAGCTCTCACATCCATACATGACTCATGGAAAAACCATAGCTTTGACTATATGGACTTTTGTCGATAATGTCTCTGCTTTTTAATATGCTGTCTAGGTTTTTCATAGCTTTTCTTCCAAAGAGCAGTGTCTTTTAATTTCATGGCTACAGTCACCATCTACAGTGATTTTGGAGCCCAGAAAAATAAAGTCTTTCACTGTTTCCATTGTTGCCCCATCTATTTGCTATGAAGTGATGGGGCTGGATGCCATGATTTTAGTTTTTTGAATGTTGAGTTTTAATCCAGTTTTTCCACTCTCCTCTTTCACCTTCATCAAGAGGCTCTTTAGTTCTTCTTCGCTTTCTGCCAGGGTGTCAGAAGGGTGGTGTCATCTGCATATCTGAGGTTATTGGTATTTCTCCCAGCAATCTTGATTCCAGCTTGTGCTTCATCTAGCCAAGCATTTGACATGATGCACTCTGCATATAAGTTAAATAAGCAGGGTGACAATATACAGCCCTGACGTACTCCTTTCCCAATTTGGAACCAGTCTCTTCTCAGCACCAAAATTTGTCTTAGGGTTCTCCAGAGGAACAGAAACAACAGGAATTTATATCAGTATCTATTTGCATATATCTCCTTCTGGTTATGTTCCATAATCATGTGAGCCAATTCCTATAATATCTGTATCTTTTTATATTCATTATGTTTATATCTATATATGTTTTAATCTTTTATTTATTTAAGGAATTGATTTGTGATCTATTTATATGAGACAATTTCTTATACTATCTGTATCTTTTCATCTATCCTTATGTATATTTATGGGCTTTCCAGGAGATGCTAGTGGTAAAGAACCCACCTGCCAATGCAGGAAGCATTTAGAGATGTAGGTTTGATCCCTGGGTCAGGAAGATCCCCTGAAGGAGGGCATGGCAACCTATTCCAGTATTCTTGCCAGGACAATCCCATAGACAGAGGAGCCTGGCAGGCTATAGTCCATAGAATCACAAAGAATTGAACATGACTAGCAACTAAACAACTAATGAGATTGTAAGAGTGAGACCCTTGTCTGATAGTATTGGTGGTCTCTTCTATATGAGGGCACAGTGAGGAGCTGGCTGTCTGCAAGCTAGAAAGAAAATTCTCACCAGAAGCCAACCACACTGGCACCCTGATCTAAAGCATCCAGCCTCCAGAACTATGAGAAATATATGCCTGCTGTTTAGTCACCTAATCCATGGTATTTTGTTTTGGAAGCTGTAGTCGACTAAGACAGTCCCCAAATTATTTTATGTGGTTAGAGTAACCTTATACCAAAACCTGATAAGGAATATTTTAGAAGGAAATTATAGTCTAATCTTACTGGTGAACATACAGAATTCTACTTTTGACATTAATGAGTGTTTTGTTGGTTCTATACCTGTTGTGAAAAATACAGGTTTCGTCTTAACTGAAAACACAGCTCTACATTTTAGCCACTCATTAAAAGATTGTCGAGGGTAAGGCTAGGATAACAATGCTCATGTGTTCATTAAAGATAAAGGTATACAATCCAGGATTTTGGCTGAAGTTACGGAAGCATTCTTTGAACTTTAGTTTGAAATTTAACAAGAACGTGTATGGCTTCAGCTGTGCCGATTGCCATGGCATTCCTTGGAACGCTTCAAAGATTATATGCACTGTTCTCAGTATACTTCCGGAGAAGGCAATGGCACCCCACTCCAGTACTCATGCCTGGAAAATCCCATGGACAGAGGAGCCTGGTGGGCTACAGTCCCTGGGGTCGCAAAGAGTCAGACAGGACTGAGCGACTTCCCTTTCACTTTTCACTTTCATGCATTGGAGAAGGCGATGGCAACCCACTCCAGTGTTCTTGCCTGGAGAATCCCAGGGACGGCAGAGCCTGGTGGGCTGCCATCTATGGGGTCACACAGAGTTGGACATGACTGAATGGAGACTTAGCAGCAGCAGCAACAGTATAGAACATCTGCACCATACACATACCAAATCTGACCTTTTGTATACTCTTAGCTATACAGTGGGAATTCTCATGAAATCCTGAAACTGTTGAAAAAAATTTTAAGTCTTTTAAAAAAGTTACTAAACAGAATACAAAGAATAACTCAGAATGACCAATTTGGTATTATAAGACCCTGATGCTGGGAAAGATTGAAGTCAGGAGGAGAAGGGGACGACAGAGGATGAGATGGTTAGATGGCATCACCGACTCGATGGACATGAGTTTGAGCAAGCTCCAAGACTTGATGATGGACAGGGAAGCCTGGCATTCTGCAGTCTGTGGGGTTGCAAAGAGTCAGACACAACAGAGGGACTGAACTGAACTGAACTGATACACAAAGTTTCACTTTAGAAAATGAATCAAGATAACACAGTAACAGATTAAAAATATAACACAGTAACAGATTAAAAATATTAAAAGTCTGGCTCAGTCTCTTGTGGGGTCACTGCTCCTCTCTCCTGGTTCCTGGTGTGCACAAGGTTTTGTTTGGTCCTCCAACAGTCTGTTTCCCCAGTCCTATGGAAGTTCTGTAATCAAATCCCACTGGCCTTCAAAGTCAAATTCCCGGAGGGGTCTCAGTCCGTTTGTTGGATCACCAGGTTAGAAAATCTGTTGTAGGCCCTAGAACTTTTGCAACAGTGCAAGAACTTCTTTGGTGTAATTGGTCTCCAGTTTGTAGGCTCGGTGGCTCTATGGTGGGGCTAATGGCAACCTCCTCTAAGAGGACTTAGGCCACACACTGTGCCTCCCAGGTCTGTGGCAGCCAGAACCCCTATCTCCACAGCAGGCCAGTGCTGACCTGTGCCTCCATGGGAGACCCTTAAACACTCAAAGGCAGGTCTGGTTCAGTCTCTTGTGGGGGTCACTGCACTTTTCTCTGGGTCCTCGTGAGCATGAGGTTTCGTTTGCACCCTCCAAGCATCTCTGGAAGTTATGAGATTTGATTCTAAATGCGATTGCACCCCTCATACCATCTTGTTGGGACTTCTCCTTTGCCCTTGGACATGGGGTATCTTTCTTTGGTGGGATCCAACATTCTCCTGATGATGGTTTTTCAGCAGCTAGTTGCGATTTTGGTGTTCTTGCAGAAGATGAGCACATGTCCTTCTACTCCACCATCTTGATTTTCATGGATTAAAAATATAAATTATATAATTTCAATAAAAGCATAAGAACATCTAAAAAATTCAACAGCCTTTTATGATAGAAAAGCAAAACCCTTCTTCCCAATCTATAAATAGAAAAAGAACTTTCTTTATCTGATTCAAAGATATCAGCAACAAAAGTCATATATAATAATAATATTCAATATTATGTAATTATTATTTTATGTTATATAATATTATTATCCTCCATCCTAAGTCACTTCAGTTATGTCTGACTCTGCAACTCTACGGACTGAAGTCCACCAGGCTCCTCTCTCCATGAGATTCTCCAGGCAAGAATACTGGAGTGGGTTGCAATGCCCTCCTCCAGGGGATCTTCCCAACCCAGGGATCAAACCCAGGTCTC